ACACACACATACACACACACACATACATACACACACACGACAAACCGCTCGTGGGGGCCCTGCCTATTGATCTCTAAACATCTGGAACACCTCATATTTGTTTTACAAGGCAGTGGCGAGCAGTCCTGTGGCCCCCGATAGGGGAGTGAGGCAGCAGCGGCAGCAGCACCAGGACGGACCACTTGACACCTTGCTTCACGGCATCGATATGCAGTAGTGTGATACCAGCTCTGCGGAGACGAGAAGGCCAGTCCATGGCATCTTGATATTAAACCGTGAGCTCTGCGCATTCCTCGCCGACAGCGTAGTCTTTTTTTTCTCCCCCTGCGGAGTCGAAAGGATTAACTTGGCCGAAAAAAGGTGGCGAGGGAGGAAATCTTAATAATTCAATTTGAGCTGATTCTGTTTGGGGGATTCGTGGGATACCATTGGACCTGCGATGGACTCCAGCGCGGGGGAATATGGCATGGCTCGTGTCGGATTGTTTTTGGTTTTGATGGGGCTGTGGAGATTTAGCGATGCTTGCCCCGCATCCTGCACTTGCAGCATCTCAAGAATTGTTTGTATTGATTCTGTACCAGGGATCGAGGATTTCCCTGTCCTCACGTTAGATGACATGGAAAACATCACTGAGATGTAAGTGTATGAAAACGATCGCACCGACAGCTTATTAACTCATTAGGAAGCAATGCGTAAAGAGCTCCCCTGGAATCTGTAGGTCGCTGGAATATCAAATAGTTGGGGCTGGTATTTTAATAATAATATTAATAATAACAACAATAATTATAATAACAATAAGGGTGAGAATAAGATCAACGGCGTTATTAATGGAGGTTTGGAATCTCCTTGTGGATTAAACATCAGTAGAGATCCATGTTTAGCGCTTTTCCTGACACAGAATTAATTTTATTCTTATAACCAATGTCAGATCATGTAGCCTCGTATATGTGTGCTTGCGTGTGCTTTTACGCGCGCGCGCATGTGTGTGTGTGAGACAGAGGCAGTTGCTCGCGTGCGCGAGCGCGTTATGGTGGCGAGGTTGTGCGTCAGGCTTATTTGGATTAGTCGGTGTTTTCCTTTACAAAACAGCTCCAGTGGTAGTGATGGAGTAAATTTTCAGGCCTAACGGAGCCTCCGAGGTGCTCACTCGGTTTTTGGGCGGCGGTGTGAAGCAGCCTGAATACTTCATGCTGTTGGCACATTACACATGAGATCGCATCAGTTGTGTACAGCTGCCAATAGGCTACCCACAGTTGTGTAGAGCCTCATCTGCGTCAGTGTGTAGGTCTGTGTTGAAGCTTACCTGTTACAACCCCGCACAAGTACACCACTGCATGGCACCCAGCGGAGCAAAGGGGAGACTGAGTGAGTTTTCGGAGGCAGGCAGGCTGAATAGGCGTCACATCAGTTTACCGTGAATGTAGTTTACTTGAGGTCAACGTGTTTATTCGCGTTTTTACTTTGCAGATAAAAAGAAAAGTCTTTCAGGTGCCTATATATATTTTTTAATGTTCTTCACTTTGTAAAGAATGCAGTTGTTCCAGATTTCTTTAAGGCAGTGTGTACAACATCAGTGAAGGACATCAGGCCGGGCACCTTCTGAAAATCAACCATGAATTTAAAAATTCCTGTTAGTGATACTTTAAGGCGTCACTTCGAAGGCACCACTGCTCTTTAGATACATTTTGTAGTTTTAGGGCATCCTCCAATCCTCATGTAAACAAAATGTTTCCTACTAACACATGAAGCAACCAGCAGTCAGTGTCAAACCCATCAGTAGTTAGCAACACTCACAAGTTGTTGTTGTTGCTTGTTTGTTTTTTTCAGATCATTTGAAGCTTTAACGAAATACTAGTTAAAACAGGACAATCATTCCACCTCAAAATAATTCATAAATGTTTTTCATTCTTAAAAACTCCATAAAATATGTAGTTACTTGCTACAAATTCAGAAAAACAATTTCAATTTTTGACTGTGTTCTCCAAAAGTCTCATTTGTTAAATATTTCAAATCTCGTGTTAGTACTACTGTGTAGGAATGTAAAAGCAGCATCTTGAAGAAAATCTATAAAACAAAAATACCACCACTTTCTCAGTCTCCCTAAATTACACTGTTGAAGCAGAGCACAAAACTCAGAAGACATGAAATTAGGCATTTTATGACCATAGAGAGACAAGAGGTGGACCATAGTAGTGCCTCTTACCAGAAGCAGATTCAGGAACAGTGAGATGGGTAAAGCTTCATCTGTGCCAAGTTCACAGTTTCACCATGAGGACCTACTGTTCCCAACATGGACCTTAGCTTAAAAAAAAAAGTTAGATATGGAAAAAAATCACACTCCTAAGGATATCAATGTCTGAAAGCACCTTCTCACCTAAACTGAAACCTTAGGCATAGGCACTGTCCAGATAACTAAACCTCCCAAACGCTGGAAAAAAAAGCCATCTTTTGGTATGATAATTAATTTAACAGCGTGGGCATGTGATGATGCTTTACATTAGCAAAGGACTAGACAAAGGAAAAAAGACAAACCTTTAATAAAACTTTTCTCAAATCACAAAAATCTCAAATTTGCTCTGCAGAGCAAAGAAACATAATAGTGTTTCTCTTTCTCGGCACTAATTATCTCACAGACATGCCTCCTTTCCAAACAGAAACCTGCTTACTCCAAAATACAATTACATGCTTCAGCATAAATAAAAATAACTTTTCAATGTGTACGTAGACATATCTGCGATTGCTCAGTTGCAACCTTGAATTTGATTCCAAAACTTCACATATAAAGGCACCATCGTTCTGTCTGCAACTTTGAGTTTCTTTATATATAAGCAGCTGTAAGGTCTCCTGCTTATCAACCTCCAGCCAAATACTGACACACCCAGTCTGATCGTGGCTCAGGACCCAGATTAAGCTGTTAGACTGTCCCTGCACAGTGTTTTACCTGGTTAGAGTTAATAACCCCAATTCATTCATTCTTATCGAGCCAATTTCCCTACAACTTCTTCTTCTTATTATTATTATTATTATTATTATTGGTGACATACCCAGCCCCCACATTAAGCTTTTTTTTTCCTAGAGGTGCTATTTTAAAACAAAAACAGTTTATTACAGTTATTAGTCCACAAAGTTCTTTAAAAAAAACATTGTTTTTGGTAAACAAGGTAAACATGTCACTTCACACCGTCAGTACACACTGTTGTAATAATGTTATACTCACAAATGCACTAGAGACAAGACTCCTTGAGTAAAATAGCTAGCTTAACTTGGGAGCTGTACAATTTTACCTTGCTGACTCGCAAAACAACAAAATGCGTTTTATTCAAAAAAAGTTATTAGTCTTATAAAATACACACATTTCCCATTCAACACTTGAGTTTTTGGAGAGTTAATTAGGACCTGTATCTCAATTCCAGTTTAAATCACACTTTTGACTCAATATTTGACATTTTTTGTGTGAATAGTTTGACTAAAAACCTGCACCATACCAAGCTTTCCCTTTTATCTTGTTTTTCCACAGATACATTGCTAATCAAAACAGACTGTTTGACTTGAGTGACAGCAGTCTGAGGCACTACATAAACCTAAGAAACCTGTAAGTAGAACATTCAGTGTTGTGTTTTTTATGGTTAAAAGTGGAGTTAAAGTTCAAGTAACTACAATTTAACTTCCAACAGAACGGTCACAAAGACAAGACTGACATCTATATCACCGGACGCGTTTTTTAACAATACAAGACTTCAATATGTGTAAGAAGAATTTTACAGAGCCTCTCCAGTTATTTCATTACTAAACATGTAAGAATGCTTAGTTGAATATTTTCTGTTTGGTTGTTTGTTTGTTTTTCTCTCCTCTCAGAAATCTCAGAGACAATAACTTGTCAACACTGTCATGGAGAACATTTCAGAACTTTAACATTTCATATCCGTAAGTGACGCATACGCACAAAACCATCAGTGTATCTATGTCTTTTCTATGTAGTGTCACATGCACTCTATTTTCTTTCTAGGCTACTTCTGTCTGGGAATCCTCTGGATTGTGTTTGTGAGAACTTGTGGATCAAGCTAAGACTCCAGGAAGAAACAGACAGTCCCGAGCTGACATGCACAGATGACAGAGGAGTGGCGCAGGACTTTGCTACCTTCCGGCCGCCAGACTGTGGTAAAGTGAAACCATCCCACAATAAGCAAATCTGAGTAGACTGATTGATATCGAATGTTTGAATGAGTGGATGCACAGTAAGGGACTGAAAGAAAGACAGAAAGAAAGTTTAAAGGGAAACAATCTGATCAAGTTTCCTTTTACTTTTATGGTTTGCATGTTTTCTCACAGTGGTTCCCACGGTAGAGGTCACCCCCAGAAATGTGACTCAGATGGAGGGGAGTAATGTCAAAGCTATTTGCAGTGCCTCAGGCTCCCCTGCTCCCGAGATTGCGTGGAACCTTGATGAGCTCTGGACCCACTATGCGGTAAGGTGATCTACCTTTCGGTTTTCGTTTTTAAACCTTTGGCACGGCTCCACTTTTACAGAGTCTCGAAGAGCTGTACTTTGGTGATATTTTATACTTTTAAAAAGTTATTTAAAATAACATGTAAATTGTTATTATTATTACTATTATTATTATTATTAATACAAAATAATCACATTTAATTTGGTTGTTTTCATGGGAAAATCAAATATATAGATAAGATAACAACTATGAGGACATGGACTAGACTGTTCTGAGACTATTTTCTAATTTGAAACAGCTTACTGAAAGCAATGCAAAACACATCACTAATGTTGGAAAAAAATATATATACATATATATATATATATATATATATATATACATACATATATATATATATATTCTGGGTGATTTACAAGCATTCGGGGGTTTCAAACGCTGAAATTTACTTTTAAGTGCTTAAAAGTTTGTGACTGTGTTTGTAGAGCTTTAAAGGGCATCTTTAGATAAATTGTTGTGAAGTTGTCAACATGAGATTTCAAGCTTTGAATGAATAATTTTAAATATATAAAACTGGACATTAATACTGTTGAACTTGCTTGTTTCTGGTTAAGTCCGTATTGAGTACTTGTAAATGTTTTAGCTGATGCTTTTAGCTAATTGTTTTGCTATTCTTACATCAGCTTTTTCTAATAACAATTAGAAAAGTAGTCTTTTTTTATTTTAATTTATTAGCCACTTTTAGCTCATTTACGCTGCTTTTCTACCTTGTGCTATTTAAAATGTGTATCAACTACTTTTACTTTTACTTATTCATATGTTCTCTGTGCTTCTTTTAGCTAGCTGTTAGCCACTTCTAGCTACTAGTTCAATTATCATCTCACATTGATTTTAGTTTGCTAAGTACTGGTCCATAATATTTTTCAGCATTTGTTTATAGAATTTCAAATGTTTATCTTTATCCAGTATAAGTGTCTTCATTCCTTTTAGGTACTTTAACTTTTAAGTAAGTCTTTAAAACTCCCTGGCTACTTTGCTAACTACTCTGGTGTCTGTCTGTCATAGCCATTTGAGCCTGTATTGTACAGTCAACTAATAGTAGTCGGTTTCATAAGATCAAGACAATTTTCTGTATACAGGAAACATAATGAAAAAATTAATAATGTGTTTACAGTTTGAACCTATGGGTACAGAGAGCATCCTCACCCTGTCAGGCCTGTCTCCTGATGATAACGGCAGGGCGATCGTATGCAGTGCCGAGAACATGGTCGGTCAGACCGAGGCCAGCCTTCAGCTCAATATTCTTTGTAAGGACTTTAACCATGGCGCACATCTCTAGAAATTATATTTGCGTTGCTAAGTTTAATTTGTGTAATTTAATGTGATGAACTTTTAAATGCCTTCTTCGAGATGTTGTTTTTCCACTGGAAGCAGAAGGCTCCTCATTTTGTTATCATTAGTGTCTCTTGGCAAACCTTATTGACTCTCCATGTTTCCTGTCCATAACTCTTCCTTCTGTGAAGCTCCTCATGCCTTGCCATACACCTCTGCTTGTTTAGTTCCACCCTCCTCCTCTTTCTCCGTGTTTTCATCTCGTCAGTGCTCAGATGTTGTGTGATCAGTCCCCCTTCCCATACTTTTTGTCACTTACTCAAAATCCCTCAGATGTTGTTTTACCTATTGGCTTCCCTCCTTGTGTTTATTTCCTATCATCTTGTTATTACTCTTCCTCTACTGTTGCCTCTGTGTCAGTTGCCCCCACCATCCTGACACTCCTGACTCCAGAGCGGGACCACCACTGGTGCATACCCTTCACAGTAACGGGGAACCCCAAGCCGGAGCTAAGGTGGTACCACAATAACAAGCCTCTCCAGGAACAGGACTACATCCGCACCATGATCCACGTGACCACAGAGAACCAGCAACACGGCTGCCTGCAGCTGGTCAACCCCACCCACATTCACAACGGAAAGTACAAGCTGGTCGCAGAGAATAAGTATGGCAGGGATGAGAGGAACATCTCTGCCCAGTTTCTCCACCCGCCTAACCTCAACCATACGGGTCAGTATTCTGTCTTTTCACACGAGTCCGTTTATTGAAGTCAGCTCGTTTCTGTTTATTATGGCTGCTGACATGCTTTTTTTTTGTCATTTCTTTTCTTTTCTACAGAAGACCTCGTGTATTGTAAGTTTCGATTTGGCTTATCCGGACAAATGTTGTACTTGTTAGCATGATGATGATTTACTGCAAATTTAAAATGAACTCTGATAATGTCCCTGTCCCTTTCCTGCCGTTGCCTGTGCCTTCGCCTTCTGCCCAGACGGTGTGTGTTTTAACTCTCAAATTTGCATGAACCTAACAGTCAGCATTTTGACATGCTTTCACTCACTAGATTGGTTTAAAATGTTCAGACCCATGTGTTTTTTCCAGATCCTACAGACACTCCACCGGATGATAGTGTTGCTGTAAGTGACCCTAATCAGCCCGCTTCATCTAAAGCAGTGGTACCTACCTCTTCTTGTAAACCCTTAAAATACACAATATTTTCTTGTTTATTTCAATTCTTTTTTTTAAAAAAAGCAGCTCCTGTTATCGCCTCATGACTCCATCTTAGTTTTTTCCTTCCTAGGTGTTTGTAGTTTTGGGAATTGCTGGAGTTGCCGTGATCGGTTGTGTTCTGATGACGATCATACTGAAATACGGAAGAAACTCCAAGTTTGGCATTAAAGGTGCAAACATTTTCTAAAAAAAAACAACTAAGCTGATAATTCAAGATATACATTTGTGCTTCCTTACCCTGAGTTAAACAATATCACGTGTGTTTGCTAGAAGTGAAGCTACAACCGGCAGTTTATCCTGGAAACCCTGGCCATCATTGCAAATAAATATCACGCAAACGTTATCCTCAGCTCCAGGTCGCAGACAGTCCACTCTAGGCTGCTTGGAGTTGAACTATCCCTGAAATACAAGAAACCCCATATTGGTCACCCTGACATTTGCTAAAACACAGAAACAGCTTTTCAATATGTCAGTGGCACAATACATCTTTTATCCAAATATATGTGTATAGAAAGATACCTTAAAGGTCCCTTTAAAACATATAATAGATACTAGAACACAAGT